CATGTCTGGTCCATGAGTTAGGAAGCAACATTGTATAGTAGCAAGGGACCTGGATTTGGAATTGAAAAATTTGGATTAAAATCCCAGCTCTTCAGCTTATAGCTTGTCTGACCTTGGGCAAACCACTCAACTCCCTCTGTACCTCAGTTTCCTCAACTGAAAATGAGGGCCTTGGATTAGCTGTCCTCTGATGTCCCTTCCAGTTCTCAAATTTTGTGGCTATGTGACTATACCATCTCTGAGTTCCCTTCCAACACAAAACCTATGAATTTGTTATCCACCCTATAACATAATTTTCCAAAATTAAACATGTATAAAGAAGGAACATTTTTTAAAAATCAGTAACAACCTACACTGTAATTCTAATAGTGAATTATAACATTTCTAAGTTATAGAAATTATTTCTAATTCAAAATAAACTACATGGCATTCAAAGATGAACTGATTAAAATCATAATCAAGTTATAATTTACGGAAAAAGTCAACAACAAAAATGGGTTGCAAATTTACATTCCAAGAGATTGTTGAACAAAGAATGGTTGTTAGATGATAAACTATTTTGTAGCATTCTTTATGTCCACAAGAAAAATTGGTTGTTAGATAAATGATCAACTTCGAAATCAATTAAAGAATTAATAATTCTCAAATTTATCCAAATTTTTGTCCTATATAACAAGACATTTTTATTTATATATGTTTGTATTGTGTATGTGTATCAAGAAATAGGATTCATTTAAGAATTTTTGGTTAACTCTTTAATTTATCTCTCAGACATATATATATATATATATATATACACATACATATATATATATACATATATATATACACACACACACATATATATACATATATACACACATATATATGCACATATATATATATATCTGAGATATGAAGTAAGGATGTAAATATTAATGAACTGTGGCCTTACATAGTGACAAATGAGTATGTTACTGATAGTAATATGTCTTGGTCTCAGATAATAAGAGCTTTACTGAGAATCCCATTCCTTTGTAACACTGAAAAAAAAATAATACCACCATTGAAGGTCTTAGGTATTGAAAGATAGGAATATTGTCATTTTATTAGGAGATAATTCTTTGTCACTGTAACTAATAGCCTATCAGTCCTTTGACCTCTCACAGTGAAAATACAGTACTATTCAGAGCAAGTGGGAATCTTTTACCAATAAGTGGCCCTCAAAGAGAAAGTGTGAAATATAAGCAAGAATATTTCCATTCATCCAAGCAGATACTTCCCATATCTTTATTAGCAGCCTGGTATCTACTTCCATGTGTCTACTCCCATGTTCTGCTTAGAAAAGCATATTGAGGCAGTATAGCACAGTAGAAAGTAAAATGGATTTGGAGTCAGAGGGGTTAGACTTACTTCCCACTACTGGTGCTACTACCTTGTGACACTGGACAAGTTACTTAACCTCCGTAGACCTCTATTTCCTCATCTGCCAAAAAAAGGGGCAAGACTAGATGGCATCCGTTCCTTTCTTACTTTAGAACTATGATTTTATGATTCTATGACTAAGCTTCAAATGCTTTCAAAACCTAGAATAGGTTTTACTTTTTATTAAAACAATAAAAGACTCACATTTGAGCCTACGCCCAGGCAGAACTTCTCCCATGGTCAGCCTCTCTTTCTGTTCTGCCTCTGACTTACTACAGGCAATACAGCATAGTGCAGGGTAGCAGTGAGAGCATAAGGACCTTGAGGATTAGAGAAGGGTCAAGACCCTTTTCCCCTTTCCATTGGTCCCTACATCACCTCATCCCACCTCCATGGAATCCCTACAGTCCTTTCAATGTATAGTAATACCCTTTGGCAGGTCCTATAAAGAGCAAAGACTCAGAGTTTATTCTTGTACATTTAGACTCTGTGTCTTGATGTTTTAATGGTCTTTCCTCCTTGGCTTTCTCCAGTCAATGGTCCAGTGCTTTACTATCACTGAATAGACCTTTCTTGTCACTGGTCAGCTGTCTTTCCACTGATGCTACATTATTGCACTATAGCATGTATCTATCTGGCTATGGTTACCATCCACTGCTCCAAGACAGTCATTTTTTTTTTTGCCACATCCTCAAGCTTAGTTTTGCTGTCCTGTGTTCCCTTCTCCTTCCCAAGGGAAAGTGCCAACTTTCAAGTAACTGGATCATGGATTATACTAAGATACAATTACACCTCTTTTGTGATTCCAGTGTCAGGGTGCTTCTAGCCATTTAAAACTTTTCATCTCTTTCATGCCCAAGGTCTGAATACTTCAGACCTCTTTAAAATCTACTTTTTACACAGCCCTTCCCTACACAAGAAATATCTTCTGTAGTAACAACAGAAACTTTTCCTATTCAATAGTGTCTATTTTTCTGCTTTGGAATGGCTCAGAGTGAGTCCATAACCTCTTCCTTCCCCCAGTGGCTAAGTAGTGTGCCCTCTACCCACATTAGATTCTCCCACTGAGTTTTGGGCAATTTGTTGACAGCAATCCAGTTCCCATTCCATTTGTCTATTCGTTCCCATCTTCCTCTGTGGTAGGCCATGCAAATTAGCTTAGTATTGTTTGAGAATGCCCTGAAAAGGGAGACAGAAGGATCAACCCACCCCAAGGAAATGGCAAAGATTCATGTCCCTGTTACAAATATATACAGTATCATAAAAGAATAGAGTAACCCAACACAGGGATTATCAACTATGGGGTCACAAGAGAAATTAATGTGATGCTGTCTTTTCTTATATATGCCTGCTCTCCTACAAATCTTCTATAAATCTAGAACAGTACCCAATGGGAAGTGATTGATCTAGACTAGGCCTCCTAATAGAGCTAGGGGAAAAAAATTCCATAGCTCATAAAATGCATAATTTCTCCTATGTATTAGGCTTTGTTCCTTTCCTTTGTATTCTTAAATACCAAACCACTATAAATATCAAAATAACCAACATAAGCAAACCATTTTTTAAAAATCCTCCTTTTTCCTCTAGACTCCCTTACATTTGGATAAAACATTTTTTTTCTGTGTTTTTCTATGTAAACTACTAGTAATACGTAGATCCATATTTTTTGGATTTATATGAAAAGTAACAAGTATGATTCCATATTTGTAGTCATTTAACAAATATCATTTGGTTGATAGTTGAAAGTGCACATTAATCTTTGCATTGCTAAATCTTAGTTCTATTTAGATATAAGGTAATGTGCAAATCTTAGACCATACATTTTTTGAAGTAGTTACTATGAATTTATAGTAGACTTTTCTCCAAATATATAATGCAATGCCACATCTATAGTAGATTCAGGATCTTCATAATGACACTCTTATCTTCTTATCCTCACAATAAAGTAGTGTAGATAAGAACAGCTATCAATTCTACATTGATCACATAGGATATCATTAATGATGATATTAAAAATTGAGTAGGTTGAAGAGTTAGAAGGAATACTGTTAGATTCTAAAAATTTTATTCTCTTCATAACAATACTGAATTACATTCCCAGCAGAAGGTTTACTCACAAAGTACTTTGTGATTGTCATTTTCCTGGTTATGTTATATTTTTAATTTGGTTATACAGCAGTTTTTTTTTCATCATGATAATGATCCATTCAAGGTTAAGGATGAAAAGACAAACAAATGGATTATGAAAATAAGTGATATATTTTTAATTAAAATAAATTTTTATTTTGTTAGCTTTTTTACTATGCCTTTAGTTAAAATTTAAAAAGCCTTCCTAGTAAATCATTTCATTATATAAGTAGAACTAAAACTCCTTTTATGATATTTCTAAAAATAACAGAATTTTAACCCAGGCAGATAGCATTCAAAAATATTTTTTAAAAGCATTTTAAAATATGGTGCAATTCTAGAAGGTCATTTTTCCAATTTAAAAACTGTAAGAAGCCAGAATCATTTGAGTACCACAGTCCTCTGAAGTTAAGTGTATATATGTGTATAAGTGTGTATACATATATATGTATGTATGTATGTATGCAAATATTATGTATTTATTTATGTTCATTTATTTATTTATTTTGGATCTATCATTAGGGGCGCTAAGAAAGTCAAAGTCTACTCCTCTATTCCTCATCTGGGACAGCACCAATCTTATGCTTTGCAGTCCACTGAGTGAATATAGCCCAATAGGTAAAAGAGATACAACTCTCTCACTGCTGGGATATACCAGATGTTCATAAAGTTCTTTTGTGACTTTAATTTTTGTTTCTAATTTATACATGGTTGTCATTTGAAAAATGCAATTGATTGAATTTTAATATATTTCAATTGCAATTTCTAGACTTGGACTCTTTTTTATATTATTCAATCCACTTTCCAATTAATTATTAATATTATCTAATTGCTATGCTACTTCATCAATTGCACTGATGATACTGGCCCTAAGCTTTTTGGTTAATTTTTTTAAAATGAATATAAATAGTTCATTTACAGTTTATTTTTACCATCTAGAAATCCAGAATTGTTTAAGTTTAGAAGTATAGAGGTCTTTACAAATAGACTATAGTATACATACTAAGTCTAGCCTAAGATTGTGTTTGCGTTCAAGAAAATCAGACATTAATTAGTATCAGATGAACACATGAGAGTAGGTTGAGGGTGTGAGGATTGGGTTATGAAATACAAATCATGTACATCAGACATCAGAATTACAAAAGATATTAAAGACTAGAAGTGAAAGTTAAATTAATGTTTCCCAAAGTAATTTTCTTCCCTGCAGTTTTTTTCTGGGAACACATCAAATTATTTTCAAAAGGGTCCTACATGGTAGCATTCCATTAATATTTGTAAAGCCCTTTTAAACAGCTGGATAAAAATATACACTGATCATGTAAAAATTGTTATCTTCACATCATGTCATGTTCACATCATGCTTATGATAAATGAACAAGCTAAATTAACATCCCAATCCTGAGGGTTTTTATAATACATTAAGTACTACACAGAAACACACAAACTAATCTATAAGTGGATATTCATACCGTCATAAATCCATCCAGCAAACCTGAATCGGGCTTAGGAGGTGCCTGCAGTCGTTCCATTGACCACTTTTCAATAATAGATGAGACTTGGCTATTTTCAGTATTTAAGATTCTGAACCCTGTCATGTTAACACCACTGTATCGGTAGGGTTCCACGTCAAGAGCAAAGAGGTCCTGATAGAAAGGAGAGAAAAGAAAATGGGCAGATTGTTATTTTAAACAAAGATTCCTAACTAATCTGAACTATTAACCAAAATTCAGCCACTTGAATCTTTCTCAGAGAAAAACACTGAATATTGACAAAGGGGGTAGACAAAGAAAGGCATATGAGATGGAGGTACGCCACACCTCTGAATATCTGGAGATCAATTCATATCTGCCCCAAAACAGAGATCTAAAGAAAAGTTTCCATACATGTTTGTCTAGATAGATAGACAGATATACAGAAAGACAAACAGAGCACTTTCTAGGTGCATTTAGTGTGATGGACCAAAGTATATATCCTGACTAAACTATCAATTCACAGAAGCAGGGACTGTCTGTTTAGCTCTCATTGTATAAATCAACCAATTCAACTAAATCAACTATTATTGGACTATATGGTGTTAGGCAGAATAGTGTAATCAACAGCATGCTGGAATCAGGTGAAACCTGGATTCAAATCCCTCCTCAGATACCAGTGGTGTGACCTCAGCAAGTTTCTTAACCCCTCTCTGCTTTAGTTTTCTTATTTATAAATTAGAAGAGTTGAGTCCAATGACCTTTCAGGTTCCTTCTAGCTCTGAATATATCATCAGATGATCCTAATACCTTATTAAATACTTTGATGATGACTAAAATTATGGCACCAATAGGTCTGGGAACTCTGTAAGAGAGTAGCTTTAAACCCACAGATTTGTGAGACATTACTGAAAAGGCTATTGACTATCCATTTTCTTACACACTTTGCATTTTCCACATCGGCTACTCTCATGCTACATGATGAGCTCAAATGTCTGCTGTTGCCATCACATATTTCTAACAAATGAGGGTCACCAAAGACAATTGAGGCCTGGTGAACCTTGAGATTTTCAATCAGAACTCTAGCCTCAGTATAGTACTTTAGCACCTTGCCCAAGACCACCAACTCTAGCTATCCTGGTCTTCATGTTTCTTGGGCCAGCAATAAGAACTTAGGATAACCTATCCCATTTATGTCTTAACTCCAATCATGAAATCTGGGGACTTGTAAAGTCAAAATATATGGAAGCTAGGAATCTAAATCCTGACAATAATAGTTTGATATTGCTATTTTTTAGACTCCTAAAAATGGACAAAAGCCCATTCCCAGATCCTATGGGTGCTGTTGAGAGCCAGAACAAGAAACTGGGATGCTAGCATGAGAGTTAGTCTGGGGACTGGAATCACATCAGTTAGGCTAGGCTAGGTCACAGATAGGACCATGGATGGAATTAATGGTACTTGAGGTCAACCAGTGCAGTAGTTTAGTGTAAGTAGCAGCAATGGTTAGGAACTTAATCCAGGTTGGACAGGTGACAAAGTAGGTACTTGACAGAGATAGCAGTCAAAGAAAAAGGTATCTGAAAGGAGTCATTCTTGATATATAGTTAAATTTAAAATCATCCTGAAACATGTCTTAAATTATGTCAGAATTCCTATATGCTTCATTTTTTTCTTCTGCCATATAATTAAGGTAGAAGTTAGGTAATTTACTTGACTCATTTAAAAATCTGTTCTAATAATAATTGGAGTTAGGGATATATATTATGGATAATGCTACAAAAATTTCAGAGAAGCCAAAATATAATATAAAAGAAGATATTAAGAAAATTTTTGCATGCCCAATTACAAATGTGGACTATTGTTTTCTAATTTTAAATGTAATAACACAGCTAGATCTATATAATACTTTAAGATTGGCAAAACACTTTACAAACTGAACAGATGAGACATTAAACATTATATGATAAGTCTACTATCTTGTTGTATCCAGTTGTTATTTCCCTTCAGTTTGCAATGCACATGGACCTCAGTTTCCTCAGACAAATGATACAGCTAATGGAGTGCTAGAAAAGCAGTCAGGAAGTACATGAATTCAAATCTTCAGACACTAACTAGCTGTATGACCCTGGGCAAGTAACTTAGCTTCATTTTTCTCAACTATAAAATGGATCTAATAATAACCCCTACCCCCAGGGTTATAAGAACATAATACCATTTAAAAGCACTTTAAAAACTAAATTTCTATATAAATGCTAGCTCTTGTTGCTGAGAAGTTAAGAGGCTGGACTAGATCTCTAAGATCCTATGTAATTCTAAAATTATAGAATCTAAAAATAAATCTAATTAATCAATAATACTTGTTTGTAAAAATAATAAATATAGGTAAAGAACTCACTTCAATAATTATCTAATAAATTATGTTTTAATTATTACTATATAATTTTTTACTACTGACTTTTAAAGTAAGCAATGTTATTAAAAACCAAAGTGATATGTTTCCACTCTGTCAGATTTAAAAATGATTAATAAGTCAAATCTTCTAAAATTCTGAAAGATGGTTCACTCTGCTGTAAGATCAAAGCCCTTCTTGCCTTTTTGTTGTACAAAGCTCTCTTTCTTTGATATCAGTGATTCAACCTATTCGTGTCATTTTGAATGCAATAAGAAAAACCACAAATTATAGCAATCAACCAATCCATATTTATTGAGTACACAGGATGTATAAGGGTGTGGAAGATACAAAGAACGTAGGACATGGTCCTTTTCTTTTAGGAGCTTACCATCTCACTAAGCAGTATGACAGGTACACATAAAAAAAATACAAGACTCTGTTATGATAAGCACTATGTAAGAGGATTGAGCAACAAATGCTATCAGTTCAGAGAAAGAAGAGACCATTGTGAGCTAGGGTGGTCAGACAATGCTTCACATTAAAGAGGCAGAATTTGAACTGAATCTGAAAGCATTGGTAGGATTTTATCATACATTACAGGTTTGAGTAAAAGCCTAGCAGTAGGAAAGGCCAACACAATTCAAAGAAGAGAGATGGAGAAGGTTTATGTAGGAGAGTAGTAAGAAACAAACCTGGCAAGATAAACTGAAGTTAGACTATATAAAGCCTTGAATACCAGAGAGTTTGGGTTTTTATCCTAGAGACCAAAAGTGCCAACGATTTCTTAATATAAAGCTTCTTTTGATCTTTAGGGTTGGAGTGGTATTGCTAATAAATACAATTCACTGATCACTGAAGGACTAGTCATCCACTATGTTCTTTCTCCCATGAACATAAGGCTATTACATCAGGTAGCTCATGTATCCACCAGGTCAAGTTTCAAGATTTACTGGCTGCTAGCTATTGATTAGGAAGAATTTCTCTAGGCAACAGGAGACATAGGAGTTTTTTTGAAGAGGCGAGTAGCATGATAAAGATGAAAGAATTACAGGGGGAGAAAGTATGGAGGCAAGGAAGACAATTAAAGAGAATTACAATAACAGACAAAATTTAATAAGAACTTGAAGTAGGGTGGTAGCGATTGAAACTAAAAAGGGACAGATCTTAAAGACAGTTTGAAGAATTGACATAATTTAATGACATCATTGAGTGTGGGGTGAGAATGAGAATACAATAAAGTAGGAATCAATGATGACTCAGAGGTTTTGATCCTCAATGACTAGGAGAACCACTGACATAAATACAATACAGACATACCTTGGAGATAATTGTAGGTTCAGTTCCACACCACCACAATAAAACAAATATTGCAGTAAAGTGAGTCACATGGATTCTTTTGTTTCCCAGTGCATATAAAAGTTATGTTTATACTATGCTACAGTCTATTAAGTGTGACATAGTATTATGTCTAATAAAAACAATGTATACACCTTACTTAATTAAAAATACTGTAGGGGCAGCTAGGTTGCACAGTGGATAGAGCACCGGCCCTGGAGTCAGGAGGGCCTGAGTTCAAATCTGGCCTCAGACACATAATATTTCCTAGCTGTGTGATTGTGGGCAAGTCCTTAACCCCAATTGCCTCACTAAAAAAAAAAAAAAAAGGAAGAAGAGAAAGAAAAGAAAAAAATACTGTATTGCTTTAAAAAAATGATAACCATCATCTAAACCTCTAGCAAGTTGTAATCTTTTTGCTGGTGGAGGGTCTTGCCTTAATGTTGATGGCTAGTGACTGATCAGGCTGGTGGTTGCTGAAGGTTGGGGTGGCTGTGTCAGTTTCCTAAAACAACAATGAAGTTTGCTGCATCAATTGACTCTTCCTTAGGGTTATTCATTATCCTAATTTCGATATTATTGTGTCTCAGAGAATAGGGAGGCCTGAAGAGTGGGAAAGAGATGGAGGAATGGCTAGTTGGTGAAGCAGTGAGAACACACACAGTATTTATCAATTAAGTTTGCCTTCTTATGTGGGTACAATTTGTGGTGCCCCAAAACAATTACAAAACAATAAAAGTCTTCTTTCACAACATGATTAAGGTGGAAATTTGTTTCATAAGATTGTACATGTATAGCCTATTTCAGATTGCATGCTATCTTGTGGAGGGGGGAGGGAAGGGAGGCAGAAAATTTAGAATTCAAAATTTCATAAAAGTGAATGTTGAAAACTAAAACTAAATTAATAAATAGATAGATAGATAGTAATACTAAACATCACTGACCACAGATCACCATAACAGATATAACAATAATGGAAAAAGTTTTAAATATTGTGAGAATTACCAAGATGTGAAACAGAGACATGATGTGAGTACATGCTGTCGGAAAAATGGTGCCAATAGACTTGCTTGGTGCAGGTTTGTCACAAACCTTCAATATGCAAAAAAGCAAACAACAAAAAAACCCATGATATCTGCAAAATGCAATAAAATGAGGTATACCTATAAGTCATGAGGAGGGCTGATTTTGGAAGGAAAATGATTCGTTCAGTTCAACAAGGACTTATTAAGAGCCACTATGTATGGGGCACTGTGAAAGGTGCTGAGGATGCAAATACAAAATAGAACAATGGTCCCTGTCTCAAAAGAGCTTTAGTTTTAGGCATCCAGAGTCTGAAGTAAAAATGTCCAGGAGGCACTTGAAAATATGGAAATGGAAACTGAGAGAAAGGTAAGAACTATACATAAAATCTGGAGAGTTTTTCCACATAGATGTGATAGTTGAAGTTGTGAGAATAAATGAGTTCTTTAAGACTGAGAACCTAAAGAGAGAAGAACAGAGAAGAAAAGACTGAACCTTGTGAAATGCCAACATTGCCATGGCAGGAGGACAAGAGGGGTGAGTACAAGAGAAAGAGAGGGCACAGTTACAGGAGGAAAATCCGTATTGTATCATGGAAACCAAAGGCAGGAACGCTTTAAAGAAAGAAGTAGCTGTCAGTGTCAAAAGCTATACAGAGGTCAAAAAGGATGAGTGAGAAAAATCCTTTAGAGCTGGTTCATAGGAAGCCATGGAAGACTAGTTTCCATAGTTTCAATAAAGCACTGAGCTGGATATCAGATTTCAACAGGTGAAGGAGAGAAGAGGCAGCAGTAGTGAGGAAGCAGAGATTTCTAATTCTTACTAGATTTCTAACTACTCATTCAAGATATTTAGTTATGATACCATGATGACAAATGAATCCTCTTTAATTAGGAAGAAAAAAAAAGAATGAAAATCTATTCCCATTAAGTATAACTTTTAAAGCACACTGTAAAATAGGATCAAAAATTTCAAATAACCAAAAGTATTGATTCAAATAGCCTCATGTTAGTAGGATATAAGAAAGTGCAAAATATGACCAAGTTGAGATTCAATCTAGCATGTCTTAATGGATTCTTCTTTTTTTTTTCTCACAGATAAACAGATCTGTAAGATGGTTTCTACTGAAACTTTTCTCAAGTATTACTCACAGAAATGGGAAAAAATACAGCTGCCTAACCAAGGTTTTCTACAGAAATGTTAATGCAAATTGCTGTGGAAGCCTGAGAGTGATTTTAAAGTGGCCATCAGCAGGCAACTGCTGTCAGGTTGTCTTTAATGCAGCTTTTAACCTCTGGTACTTTGAAACAAAATATACTTTGGAAAGAGTGACTTAATGTGAGTCCCTCCTCTGGATACTTTGTTACAATCTGATCAAACCCTTATAAAGAAAAACCCTTTAGCTTCTTATGTTTTTATGTTCCCATGGACTCCATGAATCAGTGATACTGAGTTAGTTCCTTGTTGCATGGATTATTTCTATTTCAGCAGAAATAAAAGAATGAATGGATGTATATTTTAAAGGTATCCATTTATCAGAGCAGCATTTAAAAAACAACAACAACAACAAATTATGTCCCAATGGCCCTGCAAAATAAGAAAAAGACAAGAAATATATTCACTGGGAATTAAAATCTGCAATGCTATTATTTCAAAATAAGTAGTTTACCATTAAGATTTATGAGTTTCCTCTGATGCTAGCTGATATCACTAACTCTTAAATTTTGATTAAAAAAGACAAAATATTACTACAAAAATACCACGTGTCATATTTCTTCTATCTCATTTAAAAGGCTATTTCTCATGATCAAATTATAACAATGAAAGTTACTGATACTTATAGCTAAGAAAGACTTTTTGCCATCATCTTTCTGGTTTAATAAAATACTTACCAGTGTAGTAAAGATATAATGATAATACTCAGTCATCATTCCCATAGCTAATGCCTAAGAGAGAAACAAAAATTTAATTATTGAAAAGGTCATACAATATGTAAGTGTATAGTTTATGACAAGTAAGAACAAAACAGTTAATTCAACTGGAATCCAGTCAACTATATTTGAGTTACACTAAAATCAGGTCAAGCAAATTATTTCTCAGCAGTTAAAAGAGATTAAGAACTATCAAAGGAATTTATGAACCAGATCTGATAGAAAGATTACTATCAGAATGTTGGGTGTTTTAAATCTATAGCTTTACGTATTAATGAAAGCATTACTATGCTACCAAAACCCTGAAATCAAGATGTCTTAGTTCATTATATTATAATGAATATAGTCTTCACTTTAAAAAAAAATCCCTAAATTAAGAGCACCATTTCATTGTGAAAAATAGTATTACACAATTTTTTTAAGTGCCAGAAAAATTAAGGAGTCCTCATGTTGAGCCCTTTAACATTTCCTTAGCAGTAATGGAGCAGATCCAAATTCACAACCATTATTCAAAAAGTACAGATAATTAAAAGTAGGGTTTTCAGTTTTCCTAACTGCAAAGCAGTGAATTGTTGTTTTAATTGCACATTCTTAAGGTTCTCATGAATTTTACAACAACATACTGAAAGCAACAGCTTTTAGAGTTGAAATATCCACAACAAGAGGAAACTGTCTTGTCCTCATCCTTATAAATACTTAGGGAGTATATTTCCAAAGGTATTCATTTTAGCTGCTAATGATTGCTAAATTCAGTTTTGCATGTAGGGAAGACATATGAAATGGAAACAGGTGCTTTCAAAAGGGACTGATACATTTCTGCAAGATCTCTCTATTCTCATCTGTTGAGCAGTTTCCACAGTACCATTGCCAAACACATTTTACATTATGATTGGAAGAGCAAGAGGATACTATTTTTCCATTAACTAATGAGAAAAGATAAAGCCTATGCTTTGACTATGTAGGGTTTGGAAGAGAGGAAATTTTTAGAAAGATTCTAGATGGTAAGTGAGGACATTTTGTGAATGGAATAGAGGGAAATGTTTTCTAGGGGCTAATGAAAAATGGTGCTGCAAGAAGGGAGAAGGAAAGACATGTATGTGCCAAGGACCTACTGACTCCATGACTAAATCTCTAGGAAACAATTCTAGCATGGATAGTGACTTTAAATTAGTCGAGCTGTGTAAATATTTTGCTCTTTAATCATGAAAGCAAAATTAACAAGAACAAGTGTTTAGAGTTACATGTTTGATTGGATAGATATTATGTGGCTGTTAAAACTGTTGGAAAAAAACTCAAATGATAACAATTAGTTGGTGCTAAAATTTATGTAGCTAAAATAAATAAATAAAACTAGCTAAAATCTAGTTTTAGATAATACACAAGGTTGTACTGAAGTCTACCTTCTTAGTATAACTGGGCAAGCATATAAGGTTTTACAATAAATTAAGGATAGGAGGAAAAAGAATTCTTGCAAATATAGGCACTTGTATCAGAGAATTTCTGGGAATTATCATACCTAAGTAAATAAGTGAACAAGAATTGACTATTTGGTTAGTGTGTGAAGGGGAAATAAAATGGCAGAAAAGCCTGATTTAAATCTTCACTTAAAGAATGCAGGATCGATAAAAGCTGACTGACACAGTCAGAGATGCAAGGGTACCATCATCTCATAGTATCAACATCTCAGATGCTTTTTTCCAAGTATGAATAATATTAATAATATAAAATTTTTTTGTATTTGCATACTCAAATTCATATGCATATGATCCTGGGCAAGTCCTTTAACTCCAATGCTTTTCAGGCAATTGCCTAGGAATTTTCTAGACTATCTTAGCTGGGTAATGATCTATGTTGGGGGAGGGATTTCTACATCAGGAGTATTTTAAGTGAATGAAATCACAGATCACTTGTGATTCACATGTACTCATAACATCAATTTGAATAAAGTGAAAGCTGAGCTTAAGTTGAGAAACAAGACAAACACTCATCTTTATAAGGTAACCATACTGTGATTTTTTTTTACCTGTGTATACTGAGGGGAGACAAACTGGACCCACTTAGATATATAGAAATATGTACAAAATAATGGGTCCTGTAACAACTAGAAAGTTATGGGGATAAGGAATGGAGCTATGATCTCAATGTCGTATCAAATTCCTGATGAGGAAATTCCCTTTAACAATGTAGGTCAGCATCTTCTCTGCAACTTACAGCCTCAGAGAGTTGCCTAGAGGCCTAAGAGATTGCCCAGGGTTATACAGCCAGAATATATCAGAAGTGGGACATGATATAAAAGGGGAATTCAACATATTGGTCTGATTGACCAACAGACAGCAGACTCTGAAATGGTCAGTAACAAGGATGATCTCCACCCCTGGCAGACCAAGTCATTCAAAATACCTGTAAGCCACAGGGAGGAGGAAGAAACAAGCCTAGAAACTGCTAACAGGGCACCAGCCCATCCCTGTTACAGACTTAGTAATCATCTGACCCTTACCAGTACTCTGGATGGCACAGTACCTCATCGCTAAAAAAAAACAGGTAGGAACTTCTGGTTTTAATATTATGTGGCCAATTATGGCTTAGGGTGTTACACCATCTTAAGGTTAACTACTTCAGGCCACGTGGGATTAATTACCACAAATAAAGCAAGTGAGATTGTTCCTCTTGAAGATAAATAGCAAACAAGGGCAAAGAAATGTAGTTCTTCGGGTCTAGGATCGTATTTGAGAATTTTATAGGACATTTGAGATTGAGGCCAAAGTTTTAACTTAATAGATCCTTATTGAATCAGGAGGGACTTGTGGAAACAGTCCTTATGCTATCTACCTGAAGTTTCCATAGCCCTTCTGCTATCTGCCTGTTGACTTCTGCCTATAATCTGAAGCAGCTCAAGCTTCCCTGCTCAGCCCCACCCTGACTGATCAACCTCCCCTGGTCTCTAGCCAGGCATCCTTGCAGTCAGTCTCCTCTGCCAATACAACTGAGGCTCAGAGAGTTAAGTAAATAGTGCAAAGCCACATAGGCACTAAGTGGCAGAGCTGGGATTCAAATCCAGGTCCTCTGACTCAAGATAAAGTGTTCTTTCTGAGATACCATGCAGCCTCTCAGAAAGGTGACTTGATATACTTTTGGCTGCTGGGGTCCCCTAAAGGCTGGTAAGGGACCTTCATGAATAATCTTCAATTACCAAATTCAATAAAGTCAGTGCGTGATCTTAACAAGAATGTTTCATTGACCAAAAACCTTAATGCAGGATGAACAGGGGCACAGATAACTGAAATTTCCAGCCTCACAGAGGAAGTTCCTATCTTTATGTCTCCAGGAATCCTCAGAATCAAGAAAATAAACTCTCATATACTTTAGTAGATCCAAATAGATAAGAAGTTGCCCTCAATACATTCTAAAGAATTATCCATTAATGTTACATTCCAAAAGGATTAGGAAAACAACACGTAAAGGTAACATCAGAAATGGAAAGGGGAAACACAGAAAAAAGGCAACTACTCTATTAGATATTACAAAATATCTTTAGAGTGCATCACAGAGATACTTTACAAATTTTGCACATACCATATTATACATACATATATAGATATATCAAGTTCAACATATATGAAGCTATGTTTCTCTATACACACATATCTATCAATATATATCTATTTATATATTGACTTTTCAAAAAAGTCAATCATGAATGGGCTATGTACCTTTGGACTTCAGCTCCCATCTGTAAAATAAGTAGGTAAGCCTAGAGCAAGGGGTCTTAACTCATAACAGGGGGTCTGATATCAGGATAACTCACCCTCATCTGAGCATATATAAAAATCATGTTAATGCCTTCTTAGAGAAGATTGTTGTTACACAGATGTTGGTGTGGAATAGCGGTTAGAACGCTGGATTTGAAATCAGAAAATCTGGATTTGAATCCCACCTCTCCTTACTACCTACATGACCCTGGACAATTATTAAATCAAGAAGCATTTATTAAGAGCCTACTATTTACTAAATATCTACTTCTAAGGCACCGGGCAAGTCACTGAACCTCTCTGAGCTTCAGTCTCATCGGTAAAATGAGGGCAATGGATTAGGATGACCTTTAAGATCTCCTCTAGCACAAAATCTCTGATTTTATGACTTTGTTCACGCACAGCATATGGTGCACAACAACTACCTTTCCATGATACCTGCTTCCCTAGAGAAAAACAGAGCACTCTCAGTGCATGCCATGTATATTTACAAACAATATTATAGCTTTTTGAAGTACATTGATTAATATTTAGAAATTCTACAAATACTTAAAATTTTATATAAAGGAAAATTAGACAGCAATTTTCATATCATCTATTATAAAAACATCTCAATTTGACTTGACTGATTTTTCTGCCTTACTGGGGAAAACAGCTATTGGCCATTTGAAAGTGAAAACCTTCAATTCCAAAATTTAATTTATTAAATATAATTGAACCTTGCCATTTACTCAAGTCAGAGATTACCTGTTTCAGAATGCCTGCTGCCATTTCATGGCTGCAGTCAAAGATTACGTGAAACTCCTTGCCTCTTTTCATCTCCTTTAGTAAAGGTTTTGCATCCTTTGTGTCAGCAGGCAACTGACGTATTTTCAACCGCAAATTGTACCTTGATGGAGCTTTGATGAGCTCTTGCAAACGAATGAGGCCTTTAATGAAAAAAGGAAAAAAGAATATCATAAAAACAATGAAAAATATACTTCTTATTAAGACATACTGTCTTTTATTGTGGCCATGAATTTATATACAATGATATTATAGCCATATTCTAATATGATAATAATATTATGGTTATAAGACATCATCACCATATTATTATGGTGTGACTATAGCTCAATAGATCCAAGTTTCTAATTCTTTGTTGTTATAATTTTTTCTTTTATATTAATCAACAGGAATAAATCCAATTTTGGAATTATATGAACTAATCTATTTGTTATATTGTCTTAAAATTATTATATCTGTTTCCTAAGTATGATCTTTTTTAAAAAATTAAATCAATTCTATCCTGACTAATTGTTCCTGACTGTTTGTGAATGATCTGTCAGATTTCAACACAATTTAAATTGTTTACAATACTGGAACATCTACATACATAAAGACGATGAGTTTATTTTGTTTAATTCTTTAAAACTAACACCAAAGACAAAAGAAATAGAATAGCACAATGAGAAAAAAGAAATAAACCCAATCATGTTGCTGCTTAACATCAAATTTGGCATTTTTTATTTTAATATTTTCTGCATAGAATTCTAAATATACAATTTTTAGTTTATATCAGTGTGATATTCTCCAATAACAAATCGCTAATCTGTGAGTGACCAACTTAAACATTACATTATTTAATGCTTTTTAAGAAAGACAGAATAAAAGCAGATCTTCCTTAAAGTACAAGTTCTTCTCTCTATTAGAAAGATGATATATAAAATTATTAGTAATGCAGGAAATCTAATGTTCATAATTTGGTAATAACATAAAGTTTTCAAAACAAATACTAAAATATGTAGTAATATTATTACATATAAAATGAAGTGTATTATTTTTCAATGCTTACATTACCAAGGAAATAGGTGTACTAATTTTCAAAATATGAGGGCATAGAAGACTATGCTTTGCCCTATTCCATTAAATATTTTTATCAGTGACTTGTACAAAATATTGATGGTATGCTCATGAAATTTATAAATGATACAAAACTATTAAAGAGAGATATGTTGGAAGATAGATAGAATAGGGATCCAAAAAGATATTGACAGACAAGAACAAAGACAAAAATTAAACATGATGAAAATTAATAAAAATAAATTTCAAAGCCTGTATTCACACTCAAAAACATAACTGCATAAGTAGCAAATATCAAGACAACCATTCACATAAGAAAAGAATCTGAGATTTTCATGGGCTACAAGCTCAAAATGAGTCAGCAATAGTGACCAAAAAGCTAACGAATTAAGATAAAAACCATGAGGTATGAAGTGATAGGGGTCTACACCAAGGTGGTGGAAGTATCAGAGAAAAGAAAGTGTGTAGACATGGAAAAGATTTTACAAAAGTAAAATTAAAAGCTAGGTGATACAGTGGATAGAGTGCTGGGCCTGAAGTCAGGAAGACTTATCTTCCTGAGTTCAAATTTGGCTTCAGATATTTAATAGCTGTATGACCTTGGGCAAGTCACTTAACCCTGTTTGCCTCAGTTTCCTTATCTGTAAAATGACTTGGAGAAGGAAATGGCAATCCACTCCAGAATCTCTGCCAAGAAAACCACAAATGGGAGCAATGATTCAATGATATAAATGTAGCTATAAGAGAAAGTGTTTTATAAAGAAACTGAGTGTAAAGGTCACTGGATCATAGATTTACAGCTGAAGGTATTTTAGTGGTCAGCTTGTCTACACTCTGTTTTACAAATAGGTAAACTGAAGTCCAGAGGGATTAAGTAAATTGTATGTTCACACAGGCAACAAAGAGGACAGCCAGAATTCCAGCCCAGATCCTATGACTCTAAATCCAGTGCTCTGCACTAAGGAAAAGGTATATATTAGGTACATTGGCATTCTAAATACAAAAGTAGCTTTGTTACTTGATATCTATGTAATCCTTGGAAAAATTACTCAACATCTCTAGGACACAGTCAACAAGTTCGTAAAATTAGTGTTATATTAGGCAACCTCTGAGACCCCTTCTGGTTCTAATTCTATAATCCTATGATATTAAGATAGCAATGGATATACTTTTATTACATTCAAACAAATAAGAAGCAGCTCTCAATTCATTCCCAAGAATTATCCATAAATGTCACATTTCAAAAGGAATGGAATAACAATATGTAGAGGTAACATTAGGAATGTTAGGGGGACAAAAGAAGGCAACTGCCATATTGGTTTATTATAATTATTATTTACAAAAATCTGTAGAATCTACCAGAGATATTTTACCACTCTACAATTTTGCTTAGTTAGTTTTGTTGAGCTTGCTTTTCCTGATCATATGCAGTACATATTCAGTTTCCTTATCAATTAATCAACAAACATTCATTAAGAAGCTCCTATAGGCCAGACACTGTGCTAAGTGCTCTAGATACAAAAAAGAAGTAAAAGATAGTCCCTGCCTTTAAGAACTTTCAATCTAATGAGGAAGACAACATGCAAACAAATACATACAAAGCAAGCTATTTACAAAATAAACAGAAAATAATTAAAAGAGGGAGACACTAGGGAAAAAAAAGAGGGGTTTAGGATGGCTTTCAGTAGAAGGTGGAATTTTAGTTTGGACTTAAAGGAAGCCAGGGAAAGCAGTAGTTAAAATGGAAGGGAGAGAGTACTCCCAACATGGAGAGCAGTCAGAAAAAAAAAGCCAGTAGAGATATAGAGTGTCCTGTACATGGAAGAGCCTGGAGGCCAGTGTCATTGGATCAAAAAACATGTGTTGAGGAGTAAGGTGTAAGGAGGGAGTTAGGTTATTGAGGGCTTTGAATGTCAAACAGGATTTTGTATTTGATCCTAGAGGCAAGAGGGAGACACTGGAGTCTTTTGAACTGGGGGATGGTAGGACTGGGTTGAGATGGTCAGACTTGTGCTTTAGGAAAAATCACTTTGGTGGCTAAATGGAGGATGGATTAGAGTGAGAAGAAACTTGAGGCAGACAGACCCACCAGCAGCCAATTCAATAATCCAGATGTGAGATGATGAGGGCCTCCATCAGAGTGGTAGCAATGTCAGAGAAGAGAAAAGGCCGTATTCAAGAGATTTTGCAAAGGTGAAATCGACAGGTCTTGAAAACAGATTGCATATGGGAGGTGAGAGACAGTGAGAGAATTTGGGGCAGGATAGGTAGACAACTATGTTTCAGTACGATTTGTTTTCTGTGTAATCCTATATATTGTATTTTATTCATTTAAGAACAATTCTGAGAAGGGGTTCCTAGGCTTCACCAGACTGTCCAAGGGGTTCATGACACAATAAAAAACTTAAGAAACCCTGTAGTAGAGGATCATTTAAATCTCTCTAGCTCTTTTATATTCTGAGCCTAAAATAATTTTTGATAGAAATTGATAGCGCCTACATGAAGTAAAAGAAAGAAGATTACATCCCCCTCCAAAAAAAAGGCGTACAGAAGGCAGCTAAATATATAAGTGATTACAGCCTTAATCATCACACGGTCATAAATTCCAACTTATTAGACCTTCATAAAAGATGCTAAGTATCTGTTATTTCATTTTAATTTCAAGAGGAATTCCAAGAGGAATGATATTTAATAAGTTTTATTATTCAAAATAAAATGTATGAATTGTCCTGATTATTTGTCAGTAGGAAGAAAAGATCATGAAAATATTACTAAACGGTTTCTAACCTCATCCTCTTGCTCAGCTTCCTTTGAAGAAATAATGAGGTTGGTTTACATTATCTAATTTAGGATGGTTGAGGCTACAGTGCCAGATACTTTGAATTTTCATTAACTCAATTAAGAGTAACCATATTGTCCCAGACCTGTAATTATTAAGTACAATGAAACTTGAGAACAGTAATAGCCAGTTCCCCTAAATAAAGTTGAAGGTGTGAGGAAAACTTTTGATTCAATACTTTTAGTTATTAACCTGTGCCATTTGTGCCCTATTGCTAAATGAATAAATGTATAAATGAATGGATTAATGAATGAAAAAGCATTTATTATGTGCTTAATATATGTTTTGCACACACTAATAGGAAACGAGACATTATATGCTTTCAAGGAACTCACATTTTAATGGGAAAAACAATACATAAGTTTCAGCTCAAAAGTCAGATAGAAAGACCCTGTGGTCCTCCGGATACATCAACAAAGCAGATAGCAATACATATCCTTATAATCTCCACTGATAAAATAATATCTCTTTTTTTATTTTGAACCATTCACAGTTGCAAGGACTTTGATGTTAAGAGCTTCCTTTTTTTGGGTCTTCAGTAGTTGCAGTTGCTGCGATGCCATATCTAAAGGAGTTGCTTCCTGGGATGATGGCTAAGAGGACTGGAATAGAAGTAGGGCTGGTGGTCTGAGGGGGTGGGGGACATTGGTATTCCTGAGGTTCTTAGGCTTAGCTGGCCATCGGCGTCAGTTTGTGCTGGTGGTCTGAGGGGGTGGGGGAAATTGGTATCCCTGAGGTTCTTGGGCTTAGCTGGCCATCAGTGTCAGTTTGTCAGTGGTTAGTGGCAAGGAAGGTGGATACCTTCTCCACAGGTATTGCTTTCCTTAGTGGTGGCTATGGGGAAAAGATTGGAAACAAGGTGGGTAGTTTGGTGGACATTGCTATTTCCAGGGCTCTTAGATTCAGGGTCCTTAAATGTGTCTATTGGGGTGTGAGAGGAAATAGTGGTTGAGATGGTGGCAGTGGTTTAACTTTCTTAGCACAAGCCACCTCTGGATGACCTGCTGGCTCCAAAAGCATCTGGGAATGTATAAGGTACACTTATAGGACCAACTATGCATTGGAAGCACACAGAACAGGGATGAGAGGAACTGAGTACAAATCTTGCTTCTTCTTAGTCTTGTGTAACTACAAAGCTTTGCTGTCAGTTCAGCTCCTGTCAGATTCTGTACCTGGTACCTCCTGAGTTCAGCTTTTTCTTCTTCTCTTTTTCCAATCTTCTGCCAATTTCTTCCTACAGCTTCTTTT